TTTCCCTTTTCCTTTTATTTCAATTGGAGGGTATATAGGTCATTTTAAGTTAAAAATTAGGGAAAAGGACGTTTTGCGCAAGAAAATGCATAGGTAGGGACGTTCTGCACCAAAAAATCAAACGTAGGGACGTTTTCCACACAACCCGCCATAGGTAGGGACGTTTTGCGCCAATAACCCATTTTTTTATATTCTTTTAGAATTTGAGTTTAACTGGAATTCTAATAAACCAAAGAAATTAAATGAATATGTTCAAAGTATTCTAATGCTCAAAACTTCAATAGACAAAAAGTTTAGTAAATAATGGAAGAGATGTCGTTAGAGCAAATATATACAGACGTAAGGAAAGTGAATTTGAAAAATTAAGGATTACCTTTTTATCATGTTTCGTCGTTTAATTTTTTTTGTAACGCATTAAGACATTTATGGGTTTAGTGGGGTTCTTGTGATATCGTGCTTGAATTTTGTTACTTTGATTTTCTTTTATTGGTTTTACGATTTTCTTTTTGGAATGATTATATGGGTTTCTCTATTTACATTTATTTTGATTGTACAATAATACTTTTAATAAACACCGTTAACATAATTAAGTGAATAATATATGTTAAGTTAATGTTCAATCAGTTCGGTTTTGTTCTTATGTCGTTCATTTAGTTAAAAGAGTTTATGATTTTAGAGATTTTATGGATCCATAGTGTTACGGATGTATTTAAAGTTGGATGGATATATAAAATTTATGTGGTTGCTTAGTATTTAAATAAATTATTTCAATAAGAACAATATTGGAATATATTGTGGATGCAAATAGTATTTTTTAAAAATTTTAAAAGGAATGAATTTAGAGTGAGACGGATCTATATTTATAATATATTAAATATCACATAATGTGAAAATCATTTTTTGGATGATCAATTCAATTATTTCAATAAGAGTAATGTTATTCATCCCAAATGGGGATGAAAACACAGCTTATGTGACTTTAAATGATAGGTTAAATTAAATGACTTATTTAATTTCACCTATCATTTAATGCCACATTAACATCACGTAAATTGTGTTTTCATTCCTAATTGAGATGAATAGTATTACTTTTTCAATAATATCTTATTTTTCGTTTTTCAATATGTAATAAATACTACAAAATCCTTATCATGCATAAATTTCGTGTTATTAATTCTTAATTAATTAATATTAATCCAGACTCAATGAATCTTGATTTAATGAATCTTAATCGACATGAATCTAAGGTTATTATAAATAAATTTATTTATGTTCGTGTATCTAGAAATTTTAATGTGGGCTTAAATTCATGTATTAGTAATTAATTCTTATGTATCAAAATGTAGTATAAAAAGATTGCTCATCTGTAGTATTGTATTATCACAAACAATTTGAATCATAAAAGTTGAGTTTTGGGAGTTCAATTTTCTTATCTTAAATTTATATTTTAAATTTATTTTCTTTAGTTCGTTTGAAACTTATCAAATTCTCACAATAAGTTGGTATCAAATATTATTTGTATAACACTTATAAAGTATTTCATAATAACGTGTAATATACGTTCAAATCTGACTACAATATAAAAAATGCGGGTGAAAATAACGCGGCCCTAATATAATAATCATACTACTATAAAATTAGGTGTAGAGCAACAAATATACATAATGATAAAAAAATCTACTGGTACCTCCTGCAACCACTACTATGTTACCACCCACCTAATACCACGCCACCCACATTCCATCCCCACAAAGGAACAAGAGAAGGGTGTGGAAGGAGCAGCATTGGTTCATTGCTGCTGTTGCTTCATTTGTACAAGTTCCAAGTTTTATGTAAAACTCAGAAAAAAATAAAGATAAAGAAACCCAATCTGTTGTAGTTAATCCGTTTACATTTTACAGATCCCATCAATTCGTTTGCTTGAGTTTGTTTTGCATTGGGAGTGGACTCAGTTTCAGTCCCTGATTTTTTCTTGAGATGTTAACTTGATTGTGATAAGGCAGAGGAAAATGTCGGCTTCTCCTGCCGCATTTGAACGCCCTCGCGTTGGAAATTCAAATAAGGTAAACTCGTTATTCTTACCGTTTCTTTCTCTGTCAACTTTTTTGAATTTTAGTTCTAAGTGGGAAGAAAATAAAGAAGAGTCTATGGAAGTCAAATTTGTTGATGTATTTTTGAAACTAAGCCGAACACTGTCGCTGAATTTGTTTTTGAAATTTCTGCCCTTTTAAGTTTCAGAAATAATTGGGTTCATGTAATTATCGGGACTTCAATTTTAGTGCCTATGATGTGTGGTTTGTTATCAATCTATGTAATTTTCAAACTTGTGCTGATGTTCACAGATTTTCAAGAGTGGGCATCTTCTCATATCTTCCAAAGGTCAGTGCTTTTTCCGTTACAAATAAGATAACTTTCGAATTTGGACTGAATACTGTATTAACTTTCAGTAGACAGGGCACGTGATATTTGGAGGCATTCACATTCAGTGACTGCTTTAGAGTAGGACTCTAGTGTACACGGTGCTAAATTTTACAATGAAGTTGTATATATTTCGTTGATCACACAAGCCCTTGTGATATTTTTCCGAGCTATTGCTTGATTAAACTGTCTTGTTGGGTTGGATTGGGATTTTAGTGCATTTGGTGCTTACATTAGTGCTCATGTAGTCATGTATAAGCTTGCCTTGTGCTGGTTGCATAAATACGTAATTCATGATGTAATGGTATGCCTTAGGCATCATCGTTGGGCCAGAGACAGTACGTTTAAAGCCTCCTCTATGCTTAAAAACGTTGTACCGAACATTCAACATTTTTTGCGTTGTGCTTATGGAGGCTTTAGTGCTTATAAAATGGCTGGAAGATTGAGCACTGGACTAATATTGAGATTGGCTTGAAAGAAGAAGTTGAGAAGTAACATGCGTTTACGTTCTCAAATCACCAACCTGAGAACCACTCTTTGATGACAGTGTATACCTCTTTATATATATGAGATTGTTCTTTAGATGCAAGGCACTCATTGCTTGTTGGCAAATCTAGAACCTTTGCCGTAAGATTTGTAGGCCACTCTAATTCATTTAAGCAGTAGCTGGTACAAGATCAATTGTAAGAAGACTAAAGGTAGAAAACACAATTAATGATTTGCTCAACCACTGATAAGCGTATCATTTGAACTGTATGAGTGCACGTTTATGGTTATTGTGATACAATATGGAATGTCTTCTCCACCCATTATTTTCATTAACGAAAGTGTAAAATAATGTCACTTCTGGTTGATTCTTGTCCTTAATTTTCATTAACGATTGAATCATCTTGCAGGTTTAGGATGGAAGTCTTGGAAGAAGCGATGGTTTATCCTTACTCGCTCTTCTTTGGTTTTCTTCAAGAATGACCCCGTTAGCTTTCTTTTATGCCTTTGTTGTTTTTATTCTTTGATTTGAGATATAGTGAATTTGATCTTATTTCCTGTTATTAAGCACACCTGATACTTCTGGCTAGTTCGTATTAGGGTCATTGTTAGTCTTACAGACTTCACTTTTAATATTTTAATGACTGCACGACTATGGATTTCCTCTAGAGTGCCCTTCCACAGCAAGGCAGTGAAGTAAATCTGACTTTGGGGGGCATTGATTTAAATAATTCAGGGAGGTATGAATCAATGACACAAATTTGTGGACTCTCTCTTACTCTTCCCTCTCTTTCTTACTGCCTAGACTGTTTATGTGTTTCTCTTGTAATACCCTTGGATTTTCTTGTGTGCAGTGTTGTAGTTCGAGAAGATAAGAAGCTACTGACCGTTTTGTTTCCTGATGGACGTGATGGCCGGGCATTTACTCTTAAAGTCCGTAAAAGATCTTTTTCTTTGAAATTCTATCTTTGTGTATTTAGTTTATTAGGTAATAAGCTATTCTTTCATTCTCTTTGAAATTTCAGGCAGAGACATCAGAGGACTTGTATGAGTGGAAGACTGCCCTAGAACATGCTCTTGCACAAGCACCAAGTGCTGCACTTGTGATGGGACACGATGGGATATTTAGGAGTGAAACTAATGATACAACCGAAGGGTCCTTCCATCAATGTCAGTACATGCTTGTTATCCTTTTCTTCCTCTTTCTTCAGGAAATTATGTCTAAGAGCTTTGTAATGCAGAGTTCCTTGAAGCTCCAAGGAATCCTTATAAACAAAAATTCTATCTTGTTGATTCAGGGAGGGATAAACGCCCAGTGAAGTCTTTGATTGTTGGACGGCCAATTTTGCTTGCATTGGAAGATATAGATGGAAGCCCATCCTTCCTTGAAAAAGCACTTCAATTTCTTGAGAAACATGGTAAGTTTTTTATATTGCGATTTGGATTCTTGTCCGGACTCTGGAACGATGTCTAAAATGGTACAATTCTAAATCTATTGTAATGTCTTATGATACAAGTCCAAGCCTATGTGTGGATAATGTTTATAAACGGTTTATAAACACTGAAGACACTTTTTATCCACACATTTCGAGAACCCATAAATACTCACTTATTGGCCACTAATTTCTATATATTTGTAATTTAAACCGTTTGTAAACACTTCACAAACAAGCTTTAAATGTATTGTAATGTCTAATCTTAATTTTTTGGATTGATTTCCTCTATCCTGAATCACTTTTTCAATTCTTTGCCTATGCCATTGCATTTAGGGTCTATTTGCAAAATTGATTGCATGAGAGTAATATTTTATATTGACATAATTACCAAGAAAACCTTAGTTGCTTTTGCTTTTCTTCATTTTTTAAACTTTATTTCTATTTGTACTTAACTTTTTTTATTACTTCTTTCACACATAATACATAATTCTATTTTTCATACGAGCTGGAACCTGTTCTTGAGTATCCGATTCAATATTATGCCCATGTTTGAACCACATTAAAATTTTCATTTTCATTCTTCTACTCATTTTCCACCACACATTCTTCGATAAAATAATATTTTCCACCACAATACATTCTTCCAAAATAATGTGGTACCCTATATAATATCCGTCTCATCCTGATATTAGTCGATGTATTTGAATAAGGTCAATCAAAGTCGAAATGACCAAATAGTCAATCACAATAATATTCTATTCCAAATAAAGCCTTTTACTTCTCATTTCCTGGAATGAGCGTGCTGAATAGTCCACTTTAGAGAAGTGTATTCATTATCTTTTAAAATTAAATTCTTGGATTCTTAAACATCAACCTATAGATCATGATCATAGGGTCATTTTCAAATGATCTCAACTTGATCTCGGGAAGAAAATGTCAATGCCTACCTTTTCATTTTTTCTTTTCTTAATATCTATGATAACCATACATGTTTGTAATAATTGAGCAGAGAAGAGGTGGAACATTTTGTAATTATTATAAGTCCTTATTTGGTAAGTCAAAGTAAACAATTAATTTTAATCACATATTTTATGGTCCTACAACTATCTTTTCAACTTACATCAAAATTTACGAAGAATCTGATTTTAATCCTCACTAAACAGGGGCTAAGAAGCCAAGTCAAATAGAATCAAGGACGACAATTTTTCTATTCAATCTCTTCTACAAGCAACAAAAAAAGTGCATATTTTGTTTTCTTTTCCTTTCTTTAGCATATATATTCTGATTTGGAGCTACTTCTTTTCATAGGAGTTAAAGTTGAAGGAATTCTGAGGCAGGCCGCAGATGTTGAGGAAGTGGAACGAAGAGTTCAAGAATATGAACAAGGTACTTTATTTTTGCAAACCAAGCACTAATTGCATTAAGTCATATACTTGAAGCTAATTTTCTTTCGCTCATTACAATGGTAGCATTAGGTCTGTAGATATTCGATTGATAATAATTTCATGTTGAACCACTTTTATATATTTAAATATTGTCTCTACCATGCCCCTCGCGTGTAGGTGGGATTCATTTTTTCCCATCAAAGCGTTACGCATGTACAATTATATGCAAATGGACGACAACAATATTTGATTACAGAATAATGGGAGATATCTGAATTTACCTTCATGGAGTGGGAGATTATAGTTTTTGTTGGGAAAGAGGTTCATATGGTAAATAAAGTAATGGATATCCTTTTCTCCACACTCTTGTGTGATTGTAGTAAACACTCAAATTTCCTAATCTACATGCTCTAAAATAAACTCTTTTTCCACCTTTGTTACCAAAAAATTCTTTGTAAAATATTTCCCACCTTCATACTCATTGCTGATTTCAAGTTAGAGACATTGGTTCTACATCAATTACTTGTCATGTGTCAATGGACTAAATTTTTAAAAACTAGTAAAAAGATGAACGTTTTCAATCCGCCTAAACCTTGCACTAGATTAAATCGTTATTTATTTTGGCAAGGAGTATCTGTTAGTCTGGGTTCAGGCTAACTTCCGAAGGATCAATATACAGAATAACCTCTATAAATTAATAAGGTTGGGATCGGAAAATTTGTATAATAGATGGTATTAATTTACAGAGAATAAATATATAGAGGTATACTGTACATCATTAATAAGATATGAAAGTTAGTAGCTAATTGCATAGTTTAGTTGGAGACTTCTCTCTGTCCTTGAATGTGATATATAGCATCCAATGTAATATAATCACCACTTGATTGTATTTGTAGGGAAGACTGAATTTGGTCCAGACGAGGATGCTCATGTTATTGGGGACTGTGTTAAGGTTTGCGGTATCTTACATACTTGGTAATTCTGTTTTCATTTTCATTTAAATCAATAATTCAATTGCCTTTCCTCTCCTTCAGCATGTTCTTCGAGAGCTGCCTTCGTCTCCTGTCCCTGCTTCCTGCTGCACTGCTTTGTTGGAAGCCTATAGTAAGCTTGTCACTTCTTTAACTTAATTTATTTGTCCCTTTTTATATCCTTCTTGATTGCATTTCTTGTAAAACATCGTCATATTTTATTACTTTTTAAGCGATTTCAATTTTTTCTTTGCTGCTGTCCTAAATAGAAATTGATCGGAAGGAAGCTCGGGTGAATGCGATATGCTCTGCAATACAGGATACATTTCCTGAACCCAATAGGCGTCTCTTACAGAGGTACCCCGTCGCACTTCTGTTTGTGTGATGTGTTCTCATGTTGTCTAATTAAAGTGTACATTGTTATCTTGTATTTTTGCCATTTGCTCACACCTTTAGTTTCACTCCGTGGTCAATTGTTTTGCATTGTTGAAAGTAAAATGCTGTCTATGTCAGTGATATTAGAAGATATTACAAATATAAATAAGTAGCATGACCTCTGTGCTCAATCTCATGATGAACAGTAGGAAGTCCTTTTATCATTTGAACTCGAGAATATTCTTGAACCCTGTTTCAAAGTTTTCTCTCCCTGTTGCAATATGAATTTAGAAGCTGTCCCAAAGTTAAAATTTCAAAAATTAATTTATGCAACATTTCGATGTCAAAGGGAACACGCACCCTCTGATCTAATTAAAGAAGATAACTTGGAGTAAAATAAAAAAGTGTGCAATGTAATTGAGTTACTTCAACTATCATGGGCTAACATATGATCAAAAGCTCACAAATAATAATCCTAAGGAATATCAGAGTGAATGTTATAACTAGAGACTATTAGATCTTTAAAGAATGCCATTTGATACTAGAGACAAATTGATACTAGGTTTTATATAGAATGCAAGCAGACTGAGGTAACCCTTGATGAGAATCGTCCCAGGTTAAACATTTTTTGCTCCCAAGTTTGTATTCTACAGTGATTACACTGTCAGCTACCTGTTTAATTGGAGAAGTCATGCTAAAAAACATATAGAGAAGAATACAGGGAGAAGGAGGACCAGAACAATCTTTGATGTCAGATGTGGGAGGCCTTAATCAAGCCCTAAAATTCCACATCTCGATCTTCCAGTATCTGAGGTGTCACAGTCGATTCAGAACTAGCTTCCCATCATTGAAATATATATTTTTATGGTAGGTGTGGTTATTGCAATGACCATTTGAAGGATTTGCAATGGTCATCCTCCACATTTCAGGAAAATTGACTATGGCCGAGACTAAAGCAAGTCTTGAAAATTAAATGGAATCTCTTAGATTTATTATGCAACTGGAACTTGTCTTATTGAGAAGGGGATTGGAATACAAGTTCAGCTAGAAAACTTGATTTCATGCGAATTCTACTAAGAATCATTTGTTAATTGGAATTCAGGTAGCAATGTCTGTGATCTTTGCTGTCTGTCAAATGGGTATTTCTTTTTTGTTCTTTATGAACATCATTGTGTTCTAGGTTGTTTGTGTAAATAATAAAATTGAAACACCTAGACTACTATAGCAGGTCAATGACACAATCTCACTGTTAGCATTAACTATTATTTGTTTTTAGAAGATTGGTGCTCATTAAGCGTTGACACATAAGAATTATTTCTTAGCAATTAGACACGAGCATGGTTTTAGAATTTTTCTTTTGTCATATAGGCACGAATTTCTTTGTTTTCTGGAATCCCATTTATCTCTTGTACAATCCGCAGAATCCTTAAGACGATGCATGCAATTTCCTCACATACAACTGATAATCGGATGACTCCATCGGCTGTTGCTGCTTGTATGGCACCTTTGCTCTTGCGTCCTCTTTTAGCTGGTGAATGTGAACTAGAGGATGATTTTGATATCAATGGTGATAATTCTGCTCAGCTTCTTGCTGCTGCAAATGCTGCTAATGATGCCCAAGCAATTATTACAACACTCTTGGAGGAATATGAGAATATTTTTTATGTAAGTTGCTCTTGTTTGTTGGTTTTGGAATTGTGTTGGCTTATTTGTTGTCGAGTTCTAATCTTTGCAGTAAGCCATGCATTGTCATTTCTTTCTATGCATTCTCGTATATTTTCTATTGCTCTAGTTGCTTCACAACTTATAGGTTGGATGCTTATCTCTTTGTATGGTGTATATCTCTGTATTCTTATGGTTAACTATTGCAGTTATTGGATAGTTGATGCAACGTGGAAAGTCTACTCTAAGCGTAGGAGAAATTAAAATATTACGGTTTATGTTATTTTCCTTATATCCAATTACTGAGTTTTGAAGACAATTTCGTTTGTTTCTCTATAGAGGAAACCGTAGTTTTCCTTATATATTCTAGTTTAGACTCTATATAGAGTCTTCTCTTTGTAACAAGACACCTTTTTATCATTGAATACAATTACGAGTCTTACTCCAATCTTTTTCTTCTCTCTCGGTTTCCTTCTCTTCTTCTTTAATTTACTCATTGATAATTCCTTTGCATTCGTTGTCAACAATATTTTTAACATTTTCAGTGTAGCTGAAAGACACCAACATGTTATCTTGTCCTTGTATTTCGCCCTTCCCCTATTGATCTAGTTATTATGCTGCAATGTTTGAAATGGACTGAATCATGTCATTGAATTCCACCTTCAAGAATTTTATGCTAGTGATTGTTGACTAACGTTTTTATGAAATTTTTTGTTCAACTCAACTAAAAGATTGAAATCCCTTTTAATAACCCCGTATTTGGTGTTAGCTACATGTATTCTCCTTTTCCACTCCACTATGGCCATCGATGAAGTTTACCAGAAAGATTGAAATCATTTTTAATGACCAGAAAGATTGAAATCCCTTTCAATGACCTCATTCCATGAGATTTTAGTCTGACAACTTCCCTTAGAAAATTCCTAGTCTATCACTTTTTATAATCAGCAGATTTAATGACTTTGTTTGACTATGCCAGGCCAGGTCACTCTCCTACTAATTTTGGACCTTTTTGTTTAAGATATCCTCTCCACAACTTAATTTGGTTCTTTTGATCTCTTTTAGCAAGATAATATCATATGCGAGAAGTTGACACCTTGGATCCTCATATTGCATGTTCTTAGTTAATTCGTCTACAATTAGAATAAACAGATACGTGCTTTGGTGATTCATCGATAATTAGGACTTGAGTACACCTTTGATGCAATGTTTTTTTAACAGGAGTCTAATTGAACTCTCCTGCAATATCCTCACTTTGATTTTATCTCTCTCGTAGATATCCGTGATAACATCAACACATGCATTTTTTACTCTCTTCCTCCGCCCCCCCCAACCCAAAACCCCCCTTGGATTCTATTGCTGATCTCTCCATGAAAAGAGAAGTTATCTGAACCCACTGCTTTTTCAGCCAATGTCATCTTTCTGCTGCTCTCTCCTTGTGCAATTTTTTATCCAAACACTGAAATTTCACTTACCAAAAAAATGATAAGGCAACCACATGTTAGACGTCATCATTCTGGAGCATTGCATGAAGCCCGTTGTTCCCTTTATAGTCGTCTAGCTATTAATTTAGTCGGCCTTATCTATCATATTGTATGTTGTTTTCGGAGATGCTTCCTTTCTTGAATTAATATAATTTGGGAATGTGCTTTGCAATTACCTTGCTCTTTTATTTTTTTATTAGGATCATAGTCTGCACAGATATTCTATATCTGCGAGTTCACAAACTGATAATAGTGAGAGTGAACATATGACTGATGATGAAAATCTAGACATAAAAAACAATGGTTATCATGATGCTGAAAATGAAGTTGGCCCTGAAACGGAAGATGATCGTAATCGTGGACTTATTGGGAAGTTAAGTGAAAGCAGTGAATCTGCAGCCAGCGATCATGACAATAAGGTTATCTCTCTCATTCTCTATGTGCATGCTTCATATACTTCTTTTACGAGTGTATAATAGGTTAAACTTGCCTAGAAATCTATGATAATCCTTTTTCCTCAAAATTCACTCGAAGAATGTAATCATTTTCATTGAAATCGAAACAAATGTTTTGGGTAAACTTGAATTCATGGATTGTCATTTCCTCATCTCAAAACACTGATATTTTTGGTTGGCTAATTAAGATTTTTTTTATTTTTTGGGGCACTTTGTCAGCTGAGGGCATGTTGCACCAAAATGACAAATTTGTCAGGTGTGACAAATGTATTAATAGTGATTGGTTTACATTTTTCTTGTTCCACTATAATGGTGAATGAATCTTCCAATACTTGTGGGTCATAGTTCATATATGTCGGTTCCAGTTACTTCAATGATTTGAACATCATTACGAAATAATTTACCAAGGTTGCTATTGTCTTGGCATTTGTTATTACCAGGTCATTGGAAATGATGATTCCGACGTTGAATCTCCAATGGATAGTCATACTTCAGCAACAAAATCATATCCAACTACAGACCCTAAACTTCTTAGAGTAACTAATGCTTTGGTTAATGAGCAGCTCCAACAGAATAAGCCAGGTGAAAATACGTTGAATGCTTCAACCGAATTAATTTGTAACGAGTCTCAGCGGTCTGTGGGGGAAATTTTATCATCTATGGATCAAGAGCTGAATCTATCTACTCCTGCACTTGAGTCATTGGTTGAGAAGCCAACATCCAAACATACAAATTCCAATCTGAATGTCCAGAGATCAACATTTTGGGGAAGAAAAAATGTGAGTGTTTCCCTTCAGTTTCTTTAGGTCATGAGCTTTTCAGCTTAAGGAGTCTTTCACATCCGCAACAGCAGGCGAAAGTGGTCGGGGACCTTAATCCTTAATGTAGAGAATTCAACTTTACCATGAGCGACAAAATATTTAATACTATCGTTGTAGTGTGCATAACAGAACTAAAATCAGATCTTCTTGTTGGTGCAAATTAATCATATCCCCCACTTAGTTGCCCTATTATATTTGAGCTCAACTGATTATTAACTTTTCTCGAACCTTCCTTTTTCTAGAACCTTCTTTATAGCCAAAGATGCAGCCCACTTGTTAAATATGTTAGTCTGCAAATCAAATGCTTCCAATTGGAGTTGGTCTTTTTGAGTACACGTTCAAATAAGCGCTCAAACACATGGGGATATGTGTTGGTTTTCTAAACTTTATCAACGGCATTCCTCATAAATTGTTTTCTTTATCCATTACCATATGGTGATTGATCGAGTTTCTTATCATAAGGAAGTCCCTGAAAAGTTTTTGGTTCTGTTTCCAGAACGAGGGATGACAACTCTGATATTCAATTTAACATAGATTGCATGATTACTATTCCAAGCAAACATTATGTAGAGTTCTGTGTTGGTAAACATTGTTTTTCTCCTTTCCTTCCCTGGCTCTGGTGGAAGGTGGAGTGGATTTTGATCATTTGGATTTTATGTCCCACGTTTGTATTCTTAGGTTTCATCTATTCAAATCTGACGCATTGATTGTTTTCTTCTTGCAGTCAAGGAAAACATCTTCAACGGAATCAGTTGATTCTTCTGGGGAAGAAGAGTAAGATAATCTTATTTACATTTTAAATGGACGTGTCAGATCCACACACTTGCTATCTTCTAATAAACTGCACAAGATTTATATGTTACACATTTTGCCTGAGCACATTGGAGATCTGCTCTATATGAGAATTTTTCATGTTGCTCTTTCCGAGTTGCTTTCTCTACGGGGAGAATGTTTATTTGTCTTTACAATTGGTCTTAGTTTGGGGAGTTGTAGAGCTATATGTATTGTAATATTCATAGATGTGGAAGCATTACATTTCTATGATTATGTTTTTCCACAAAAAAGTTCCATGTTCTATTTTATTCCGTTTTAATGTTCTATTTTAGTCTGTTTACTTTTTCAGTCTTCAATTCTGTTGTTTTCACTTCTTTACCCATAGAAGTTAAAGCACTTGTCTTCTCCTGTATCATGTATGTGGTCAAAAGGGGAAATTGGAAGGGAAAAATCAAAATGCATGGGCAAGACTTGAACTTGTTACTAACCTTTCCTTCATTTTTAACCACACATTCTCTATCAATCTACTATTCAATAATACATTCTTTCAAAAGAATGTGTCCCAAACACACTCTAAGTATTTATTTATTTAATTTTCACATTTCACTTCTATGATTTGTTTATAGGCTTGCTATCCAGAGATTAGAGATTGCAAAGAATGATTTGCATAAAAGGATTGCGAAAGAGGTAATTTTTACTGTAATGAGCATTCTTACCAAATATGTTTAATGTTTGTGAATAGATTTATTTTTTTCCTCTCAAATTGCAATGCAGTGCAATTTTGGAACTTATAAAGGTTATAAACCAATTTATTATTCACATGTATCTATCGTATGATTAACAATTATGCCTCTTAATACTATTATGCCTCTTAATAATTTATATTTTAACTTTTCTCTTATCGAATCCATAAAGTACTACATTGTCTTAAAATTTGTCACCCCATTGCTGAATTTCGTTTTTAACTTGACACTGCATTAATCACAATAGTTATCTCTTGAAGATTTTGTGCACTTGTTGCTCCTGAAGTTGTACAAGAGACGAAAATCAATTGGGCAGTGAAACAGAATTCCTGTAAAGATGAATTGATGTTAAGCAAGCAACATTTGTCCCAATTCTAGTATTTCTTAAGGAGAATTTTCTGAATTATTAAAATTTTGCTTCTTTTCTTATTTAAAATTTTGCTTCTTTTCTTTTCGAGGAATGCTTTTCGATCATTCCATAAAAAGTGAGTGCCACTTGTTAGCCCCCTTTAGTTTAGCTACTGCACTGGCAAAAGGCATTATTTCTGTAAGGGTGTATTTGGTTGGAAAATTTTCCATGAAAAATGGCCTTTTTCCACCCAAATTCCAACTTGTTTGACACGCCAGTTCCTTAAAAAAGTTTGCAGTGCCCGACGACATGTACAACCTTTTCTCCCTACACTTCATATATTAATCTAGCTTGCAGACTTAGCCTTGGTTCTGATATAGGTTGCAAGTCTACAAGAACAGTTACAAGCTGAAAGAGATTTACGGGCTGCTCTGGAAGTTGGCTTGAACATGTCTTCTGGACAGTTTCTGGGCTGTCATGGTATGGATTCCAAGGTTTGTATCAATAGTTAAATCTCTCTATAATCCTAATCCTACAATTTTGCTACCATCTGATGTTTTGTCTTCTATGAAGACGAGGGCTGAGCTTGAGGAGATAGCTGTTGCTGAAGCAGATGTGGCCAGATTGAAGCAGAAAGTTGCTAAACTTCATCATCAGCTAAGTCAGCAACATCAGCATCACTATGGCACTCTCCCTGATGCATCTGATCCCTATCAACGTGCCACAAATCACAGTCCTCAGCAGTGAGTCAAAAGCACACTACATCATCTTATGTTGCTTTCGGTCTTTTTTGGAATTAGATGTTCCTTTATTACATTTGTCTATGTTCTCATCCCACCTGAATACTTGGCATATAAGTAAGTAGAAAACGACTATGAACATAATTTACAAGATAGATTCAATATAGAAATGCACAAGGTTTACGATACGGTCAAGCAAGTTAAGTGATGATACAAGGGGAGGCTTGTGTCATAAGATGATCTACTTGACAGTGAAACTTTTCTTCCCCTTCTCTATCTGACCTTTACAGTGGACATGATTCTCTGTAGCAGAAAATATATCAAGAATCTGTGAATCAGTTCTCAAATGCGAGGGAAACTGAATTACGAAATTGAATATTATTATTTCCTATCTGGCATGCCAAAAAAATGTAGCCCGTTATATAAAATTTTCTTCTGTGAACAATATTTACATGCTTGTACACTTCTACAGATCCAAAAACATACACAACATGCCTTCGTATAATTCATCTAGAATGAATCATGTGAATTTAAGACATTCTATTCAAAAGACTTATAATGCCTATGACTGGTTGATTTGATTTTCTTCCAAATGTTGAGTAAGACATTTGATTCACTTTAAGTTGCCACATTTATTAGATGTATTATATATTGGGATGAGAAAGCTTAATGTTTTTCGCTTCAGGAAATATTTCCAGCGTGATTTTGACTCGACGCTTGCTTTCTGTAACCATGAAAGGAAACAAAGAACTGAGGTGAGTGACATATCAATCTTTATATTTAATCTCACGCCCTCTTGTTCAAGTGTGACACATTGCATTATCTGGGACTTGTTTTCCATCATAACTCTGAAGCATTAAATTATTTAGAATAGGGAAAATTTACAGAACTTGTCCTATATATAGGGTGTACTGACATTTTTACATTCCTTACTTTCAGAAATTACTATTTACATGCTACTTTTTCATAGTTGCTAACAAATAACGTATTCTATTTAGTCTCTGTCAAAACAAATTGGAAAATATTTACAGAACATATCCTGATTCCTGTGCATAGGTTAGTTATACTTTACATACCTTGTTTTTCAAAATTATAATTTACATACTACTATATCGTAAGTGTTAAAGAATAACATATTTCGTTATGTCTCTGCCAAATATATAGGACAAAAATAAAAAAATGTGATCTTTTACTCAATAATACCAAAAATTTTAACTTACAAGATAAGACAATCGTGTAAAAAAGAAAAAAAACATATGATGTAGCAATATGCACTTCGTAATTTTTGAAAGCGCTGAATGTGAAGTGTAATTATACCCTATACGCTACAAATCTTAGGTAATTTTGTTCCTTTTTTGGGATCGAGATTTAACTGAATATATCATTTGTTAACACTAGTGAATAGTAGTACATGAAGGTAATTTCCGAAAACAGAGCAATGTGACATGTAATATATACTATATTGAGATCGGCATGCTGCAAACCAAGCGTGCGATTACATTTTCTATCATGCTCATACCTTGCATGCTGGTGGTTGGATTGATTCCATAGGACTTGTTTCACATGGAGTCGTAGATTAGATTACAAAAAGTAATTTTTTCTCGTGGAACAAAATCTGTTAGAATATCTGGAGGGGAAAGTGAAATTTACTCTCTTTACGACATCTGAGATCGACCAACTTAGTTATCATAACGTAAGTATATATTTTTATTTTAATCCCTCAATTGTTGCAGGAGTTGGTAGGGGCAGATCGGAGAAATATTAGAGGACATGTCTTAACATCAGGCAGCAGTAGACGACCTGCTCAGCATCAGTTCCTAGATTCAACAGGATTGAGCGATTCTAAAAGTCCTGGGGCATCTACGAGTTCATCTGTGGACAACCTCTGTTACGTTGATTCTGCAGCCATACCTTGCACATCTGGTGCGGCAGAGGTAGGATTCAAACTATCATCATGTTTTGATGATGCTTGTATCAATTGACATATCGTGAGTGAAATCTACGTTGAAATTTTTTGATCCTAGAAGTGCCATAATGTGCAGGTGATAGATGATCCTAGACATCCCTCAGCAGCAGCATCAACTTTGTTCGAATTGACAACACGTCTTGATTTTTTCAAGGAAAGGAGGTCTCAGTTGATGGAACAACTCCAAAGCCTCGATTTAAACTACGAAACACCACAAGATAATATGTATAAATCATCTTCTCTTGACTGGAACTGATCATAGTTCCTTCTCACAACCTTGTGCATTCTTTGTCCCGGTAGTATATAGTCGAATATTATATTTTCTAGTTACACGTCCTATGTTCAAGTTTTATTTTGTTTCGCATTTTTGGAGACCACGAAGACTGCAGTTAGCATCTAGACTGTAATTCTTATCAACCATGAGGTGCAAAACGTAGTGTAATAATTCATAAGACAACGTTCTATGTATGGAAAGTGATCAAGGATTTTGGTCGAATGAGACATATTCGATGTATGTATTTTTGTAAATACACTTTGCAAGGATCATAAATTCCATGTATCCTGTGACTTATAAGCTGGTTTCTGTTGAATGATATTTCATGCATATCTGAGTCAGGCCCTGAGATCACTCTTGTAATCGGGTGTTTGGTGTGGACTGCATGGTTTTTAAGCCACGCTTCACTTTTTAGCTTGGCTGGGTCGTGCCAAAAGAGGGCTGCATAGAGCTCGTCGTGGAGCAGTGGCACAATGTACTAAGGGCCAGTTTGGGATAGTTTCTATTTCTATTTCTTGTAGAAGAGTTTCCCTTGAGGAAGTTACTTTGGATCAGCTTCTTTTGAAAACTCTTCTAGCCAAGTAAAGTACTAAAAAATTATTGAAATATTGATCAAAAGCAATTTCTCAGTCACTAAAGCAGTTGTTGGCTTTTCAAAAGCCCCCGCCAAATGAAACCTAATTGTTCTGTGACCTTGAGGATTAACAAAACCCTGCAGTGCAACCAGTCCGCATGACATTCTGGGCATTTCAGAAAATCCTGGGTAATGAGAGATGAGATTCATATTGAAATCGTTTGAAGAAATGCAAAATGAAGAAAAACAAATTACAAAGGTAACTTTCGTATACAAAACAATATAAAAATTCATCGTTCTGCTGGTAAGAGGAGTCGGTTTGACAAAAATATTTAACTGTATACAGTCCTTGTGATGGCCACCAAAACAAGTCGTTCCAATAAACTATCATTAATCTCATCAAATGTAGAAGTTTTCAAGATTATCGTCTCTCAGCCTGTAGTTATTTAGTGTCCCATCCAGGAATGTTTGCAGTTGCCTCGTTTACCGTCTTCACAAGTCTTACCTATATATGAACACAGTCAATTAACCTGTATAGCAAATCATTATCTTCTTCTCGTTTTAGGTTCTTTATTCCCTGCGTAAACAACTACATATGCTATCTACTACAACACCTACTTGCTTTGGACAGAACATGAGTTCGAATAATCTAAAATACTAATTCAACACAATAACTGAAGGCATACTTTCCCGAACAAGTTATTGGCATTGTATTACAAATAGTAACAATAGCTAAATTGCATCGTTAAAGAGAAAAAAAAAATGCTTACTGTATATGGGAGAGTTCATCGAGCCAATTGATTCATCCATTTTATAGAAATATGTAGAGATGCACAATGACAAAAGGTTAAGATGATAATAGCAGGGCATACCACACTTGCAGGAACGCCAGGAGGGGGCAGTGGGAGATTTCTTGGTGGAGGACCACGAAGATAGGATCTCTTGTCAAATCTCCATTCTCCAATTTTTCCGTAAGTTTACTCTCCCTGTTAAATTGCCATAGTTCAACAAATCATAAGCATTATAGAAACGAAGACATGTCTTCATTGGAAAGAAAACAAAAGGCTAGAGTTATTTTTAGTATAGTTTGGTTACCTTCATGTTGTAATCACATCCATAGGTGTAATGGACGATGAACTTCTTGCCAATTTCCGTATCCCAAGGGGGATAAAATTACAAATGATTCATGTTAATTATTGTGAGATCTATAGAAATTTGTTGAAAATAAGGAGATAATCATGCGTACCTGTAACATGAAGTCTTCTTGAAGAATATGCCGTACACCTTGAAAAGCAGATGCAACTGCATACGCATACCTATTATACAAAGAAATGTCAGCCAAACTAAGATAGTTAAAAATATTCCAAGACCACTTACATTTCTAAAACCCAACCAAAAGCCTTATCAGTCTCTGGTGTCATCTTTCATCCTCAAGGACATGTTCATCCATGTATGCGCAATTTTCTCCAGAATCACCTGCAACAATTAGATTGGTCAATACAGGAAACTTCCTTGAGGTAATTTTATTGAGTATGAAGGTTACATCATAAAATAACAGCAATTATCAATGACATTGAGATTCATGAAATTTTTAGATAGAGCTCTATAAAATCATTAAAACCAACGACTGGCTTGTTTTATATTCTCGCTGCGCCTTAAAAGGTCAAGGGGTTTTAAACCAAGATAGCAGATGGCTATTACCTTCAAATGTTAGGCAAGAATGGGCACCTTCTCACCTTGGTGCTATTCACTCGGCTGTTACTGAATTTTTTACCTGGTTGTTTAGATTCACCAGACAGACCATTATACCCCTCAGTCAGTCAATAACTACCATTTAAAAAAAAAAAAAAAAAACCAACAAAAGATATATAGAAATAAGTTCTGAAGAACTTGACACAGGGAAGAGAAAAGATGCAATAAGTTCATCATAAGCAATCTCTCCATCTTCTCATTTTCCCTCCTACTCGTTTGATTGGAGGATATAAGTAAGGGCTTCAAGAGGTTGGCTTCAAATATTTCAAGGTTGGTTGCTTAGAAAATAGTGGGGGGTTAGGTGGGATAAACCACAAATTGTGTTTGTATATTATGAGGTTTTGGTTCTTGTACCCTATATTTGTTTCACTGGGACCTTCTTCCCTCATTTTTCCCTCTTTCAATTTTTTTTTTCCTAACTTATACCATTGACTTGAGCTAAGCATACACATTGAATGTAACAGTAATGCCTCTCAACTCATTAGGTAGTCTGACAGCATGCATTTTTCAAGCGAGAGAGTCTCTATCCCTAGAACTACGTGGATTCACAGCATGTTCACAAATCCAGGGAATAAAAGTGAGTACTACAACACACCCTACTTTACATCTTCCCATCATTATGTACTTATTGTATGTATGTCAAAGTGGACTAGAAAGCACAGGATAGTATTAAGAAAGAAAAAGAAAATTGATAGCAGCCACATCAAGCAAGTCATCTAGATTACATATACAAACCAAGAATGTACTTCCTTGATGATTACTGGAGAATGCCAGTTGGATCAACATTGGTCACAGGACCTCTCTTCAGGATAGAATTTTCTTATGATTTCCAGTTTTATGTAGAAGAAAGGGAAAGCAGCTGGATGTTCTTCATGAGCCAATTTGGCAAAGGAGTTACGAATATGTGGTCAGGTTCTGCCATTCGAATGTATCTGCATCAGTGATAGCAAGAGTTAGGATTTAGATTATACAGCATTGCAGATTGAAAAATGGGCTTAATCATAAGATACATACTCTTCCTCAATTGTTGCTTTCTCCAGCCATTGCACAAATGCCCATGGTCTATTTAACACAATGTAACCCTATTTTACAACAGTCAAACATGATGCAATGCAAAGTAAAACATCTTTAGAAGAGGAGAAAGCTTTGCAAGGAAAATTATTCTCTGTAGAAAACTTAGAAGCAGAGACCGCCAAAAATCTAGAAAATTAAAGCATCAGATCACTTATTTATCTTTTAATATAAATCCAAACATGCCCAAGAAGACCGGAACAAAAGGCAGCATTTCGACAGTACAATATATATTTTTTCAGTAAGCTTTATTCAGCACATGGAGTCGTTTACTTGTTAACATCGGTATCAATTCACGTTTTCCTTTTAGATTACTAAACAGGAAATGTTATGATGTAATAAAAATAGTAGTTTCTTGTGTTCAACAATGGTAAATAAAACAAAGAGTCAGGATATTATGTTACCTCATAAGAAAACAACTAAATCAGCTCAAGCGAAGCCACATAGCAGGCGGATGGCTAATCTATGATAAGAGCCAGAAGCTCCATGAAACCGAGCAGAAAAAGCTTGAAGTATATTCGGATAATTTATGGCCCAGTGAACATAAAGCAACAACTAATATTTTGGATGAGGAACTTGCAGAATAAAATGGGACATTATAAGGCCACCTTTCCATAAGAACTGAAACATTACCCTTAATTCATTAAGCCCTCTACATTATGTTACCACTGATGAGCTGAAGCGGACCTTTGACATAAAATATGCATCAAAACTTCAACCTTCTAATTTCCATACCTACACCTATTTGATATTCTCTAAGTTGTTTCTATGAGAAACCAGGAAGAAAATCTCCTATTAGCTTATGCACCATGTTCCAAAATTTAGAAGTTCACAAATAAAGTAATTGCAGGTGTAAAATATAAATCAATGCTCACCCGATCAAGCTCCTCTGGAAGAGGATCGACAACAACAGTAGGGATTTCCTCCATCAAATTATCCGATTTTCCTGAATGCAGTACCCGAGTAAATCCTCCCATGTCTGACCCATATGCATCTTTCATCTTTTTATACCAGTAGTACATAATCCGGCACTGCCATTTGCTATAAGGTGCATCAGTAGCTGCAAAGCAACATGGAACTTTTGGCCACCCTCCCACCTCTTCACCTCATCGCACATCCCGTAACAGGAACATACAATTCCTCTGAACCACTATGACTACCCTTATGGTGCATTACCAGAGTTAATAAATTACATGTCGCGAAGAAAAATCCCAAAGATAATAAGACCAACAGAAAAGACGAACGCTCCATATTTTTCCTCGTAATCATCTATCCTATACAGATACTATGAAGCACCAATTCTTTTATATTTTTTCAAAGTCAGCCCACAATCCAATTACTCTATCTAAACATTTTACTAGTGCAAGTTGGGAGGAAAAATTATTTTATACAAGTTACAATCCTATGTTAGGAAGGAAACTAATTATGTTAAATTCTTATGACGTAGAATCAAATATATATTTCTTATTCTAGAATATAATTTATAACACCTTCCCTCAAGTTGGAGCATAGATATTTATCAAATCCAACTTATTACAAAGATAATCAATTCAAACCCCGTTCAAAATTTTTGTGAAGATATCTC